TTTTTTTTTTTTTAAATTACCTACTCAGGTGAAGAAGAAGTTGCTACGCCTATCACGACCACATCCACGTTTTCTTCAGGACCAAGGACTCAGAAGGGGTCCCGACAGCGCAGACCTTGAAATCCATTCACTGCTTCCTAGTTAGTTTGCGTTGCATGAATTGCTTGTTGTTGACATATTTGTTTTGTATGTATAAACCGTATTTTGACCTTTTTGTATATATTGTTTCTTAAATAAATTATTGTGGTTGATTTTTTTTATATAGTGTATGTTGGATTATTATTTAGCGAATGGATTGTATTGAGTTGGTTGAACATGTTTATTTGATTGCAAAATGGATTCCAAAAATATATTTTTTTTTTCTAAACAGTAAAACATATTCTTGAAATAAGTTTTATATTTTTTATTTATTTAAAAAACGTATTCACGGAATACGTTTTACTGTGAAATTCAATTTAAGGCAAAATTAATTTTTAAATAAAAGCGTATTGGCAAAATACGTTTTAGATTTTAAAAAAATTATTTTCTGCAAATAAATTATTTTTAAGAATTCTAAAATTAATTTTATTTATAAAACGTATTACGCGAATACTTTTTAACTCTAAAACGCGTTTCAGTAATACATTTTAAAAATAAAACGTATTTCCATAATACGTGTTATTTTTTTAATATTTAAAATGTATTTCTATTATATGTTTTATTTTATTTTATTTCAATTAAGTTTAATTTACTTTAATATGTTATTTAATCATTATAATTTAAACTGTATTCTCAGAATACGTTTAATCTCCTAAAATGTATTCTGAGAATATGCGTTTTTAAAGAAAAACGTATTCTCATAATACGTGTGTTTTATTTTTGTCCACTCGGTTTTTTTTTTCTTTTTATTTTTGTCCTTTTTTTTTGTTGTTTAAATAAAATATTCTTAATGGTGGGAAATTTTTCAAGTTTATAAAAAGCTCCAAATATTGTCGTAATTTGTGCAAATAATTACTCAAATGCTTAGTTGAAAGAATGTGTGAAATTAGAAAGTGAGCTCGACAATGTTACTATTAATTTTTTTATTAGAAAGTTATATATATATATATATATCTTTATTAGTGAAAGGAAAATAGACAATCAATCCGTAGGGATCGAGGCTCTTGAAAGGGAGAAAATTACAGCAACAGTTACATTTCTTATTTGATCGATAGTATCGATTTATTTATTTCCTGCTTGGGAACAACTGAAGGTAGACTGGAGATGTGAAGAAACTGGCAATCTCAGGATACAACTAAGCGTGCGTGGGGTCTATCAGGCAATCTTCCATGTTTCCGAAGCTGCATTAAATTAGAAATAATAATAATATATTAGTTAGACAAGACCACTGTAAGTAGTAAGATGAATATACACAGAGGACACTAATTAATCATGATTTATCGTAAATGAATCCATTTAATTTATTTACTATAAGAATAATAATAATAAAAAAAAAAGAAATTATTAAAGGATCACCACGTATATAATACTTACCGGTTCTAGACAGAGTCCAGTTGGAGTCCCCATTGACAGCCCAGAAGAAGTAGCCGCGCAATCCTTTATCCTTGGCGTACTGAACCTTGGCGAAAACTGATTGGAAACCGTCAAACCCGATCCAAACCTTACCCGCCACTGCATACATTGACACGCTTCTGGCGTCGAAGAACACCTCGACCTTATTCTTCCTCTTCTTCCTCAACTTCATGTAGAAATCCACCACCTCGCTGTAAGTCATGATGCCGTCAACCCCGGGCCCCACGCCCTTCGCAGGTGCCCCGATCCCGATCATGGTTTTGTTCTTGAGCGTATATGTCTTCCCATACAACGGAAACCCCATCACCATCTTGTTGGGTGACACCCCGGCCCGGATCCACGAATCGACCCCGTAGCTCGTGCTCAGTTTGCCCCCCGTCCGGTCGTACAGCTGCGCATGTTCCCCCGTGGCGTTCGCGTCCCACGACCCGTGGTAGTCGTAGTCCATCATGTTGACCCAGTCGAGGCTCTCCTGGATCTGGGCCGCCGGATAGCTCCGTGGGGGCCCGGACAGAAACGGGCCGGCCGAGTAGTACACGGCGGCAGTTATAAGGAGGGGCTGCAGCTTGGTTTGGGACGCCTCGGCCTTCACCGCGGCTCGCCACTCCTTTAGGAGGTGGCCGAGGTTCGCCATGTCATACGTGTTCTGCGGGAACTCGTAGTCGAGGTCGAACCCGGCGAACTTATACTTGCGAGCCACCTTTATGCTCGACTGGATGAAGGCCGCACGGTTGTTCTGGCTGGAGGCCATGCGCGAGAAGAGCGATGGCTCCACACCCCCGCCTCCGATGGAGAAGAGAGCCCCCACGGGGGGATTCTTGTCCCGGAGGGCTGCGGTGAAGGTTTTGAGAGACTTGTCGAGGTCGGGCGTGATGTCGAAAGTGAAAGTGGTGTTGTTGGGGACGAGGAAAGCGTAGAAGATGTGGGTGAAGTAGTCGGTGTTGATGTTGGACGGGGGCATGTTTTGGGCCCATGAAGGATAGTAGGCGCCTTTGATTGTTTGTTTGAGGCCTTGTGGCTCGGGAGCGGAATAAGCAGCGAGAAACAAGAAAGATAGTGTCGAGGTGAAAACTAGTTTTGTGAGCCCCATTGCTAGTGTGATGGTACAATAGATGGCGTAGTTTATTTATAGTAATAATAATGAGGATTTTATGTGCATAAATATATATGCCAAGGGAAAATAGACATGTGAACATCGATCCATGAGTTGAATAGTACTATTGCATACTCGAATCATTTTATTTTATTTTTTATTTTTTTCAAGTGGATGGTGTTCGATTCGTGATTCCAGATTTGTCGGTTTCCCTACAGATCCGAAAATTGGAAGGTCCTGTACCAAAGAAAAAAAAAAGTCATTTGCAAATGATTAAGCGTGTTCAAAGGAGATCATATGAGATCGGCACAAAAATTCATACAATGTATTTATAATGTCGTTTTGTATAAACTTTACAATATATATAAAAAAATAAAAAGATAAAAAAAAAACATCATGACATTTAAGATTTATTCATACTACTTTGGGACGTGACAATATAAAAATTGTAAAAAGATAATAAAAAAAAAATCATGACATTTACTTAATCATTCTACTTTGGGACACGAGGAGGACTCTTAAAGCTAGCTGGTGCGGTACTCGTGCGATGCACGAGATAATTTTGTAAAGATAAGCATTTAGATTTGAATGATTAGATGATTGAAAAAACGTAAAACGCATGTATTTGAATAAAAAAAATGTAATTTATATATTATTAAACAGTAAACAAATAATACAGAAAACAACCTACCTCTATGTAAACTGTTTCTAAGAAAATAAACCCTTAACACCTACATATATTAGGATTCTAGATAGGCTTAAATAAATCAATTAAATCATTTAGCAGAATATATATGATATGATTTATACTGGGTTTTATGAAGATTGCATAGTCAAATACAACGGAGATTGTAAAACGTCTTTCTTGATAATTCATACCATATTATTTTAAAATTGTAAATTACTTAATTTAAGGAAGACAAAAATTGTGTACGTGTATGCAGTCAGTTCTAATGCAAGTGTGAACGTCCTGGTCCAGTTTGGGGTAGATCGATTCTTGTCCTCGTCGGTAAAACGCCGGAAACCTGCAAATAACTCTCACACCGGGGGTTGTCTCCGGTAAAGAGCCTCCGATGCCTAAATCAGCATGTGTTTGAGTATATTGAAGTGAATCGCTGTCGTCGCTTCCACACCTTGAAGGACAGGCGTAGGAGTGATCGGCGTCTGCGATGGGCCAGAAAAACCTGGAGGAGGGCCTTGTCTAATTGGCCTGGTCATCGTC